TGGCTTATTGAGTTTTGCACTTCCTTCTTCATTTCTGCCTGAGTTTTCTTCAATGTTTCTATCTCTTTTTAAAATTAACTCAGAAGTTTATCTCTATCTTCTTTAAGTTCTTTGATTTGTTTGTTCATGTGTTCTTTAAATTTGTTGAATTCCTCAATCATGTTTATGATTGTTCTTTTAAGTTCAGTGTCCTGGGTTATCTCTAGGGGGTTCTCCTTGTTGAACTCCTCTACAAGATTGCTGGAGTTTGGTGGGGACATAGTGTTTTGGCTTCCCATTTTATTATTCTTTCGTTGTGATTTTGGCATGTGAATTTCTTTTGTTGTTGATGATTCTGATATGAGAATTAAGTTGAAGTATGCTTCTGTTTGTATTATCGGGATGCCTAGATCCTTTATTTGTTATGTAAATCTGGTTGGTACTGGGTTCAGGTTCTGTCAGGTTTAATTTGGAGGTAACTGATGGCTTCAGATCAGCTATTCAGGAGTACCCACAGAATCCCAATTCAGGATCCAGTCAGGTACACTCAGGCTTCCTACACCATGTGAGGGAGGCCAGAACTCTCTGGCAGTCTGCTGAGATCAGAGCCACTACAGCAATGGAGGTTGAAACCCACCCTCTCAGGCCATCTGCTAAGATCTCAGCCTTAGCCTGCCAAAGCCAGATCTGCCCTGGGGCCTTGGGAGGGGCCTCAGGAAATCCCAGGTTGGGGGATGGGTATGGCGCAATTAGGGGAAGCTCACCACCACATCAGGCAAGATCTGGGGGGCTCTCAGGCAGTCCCCTGTGTCCTCAGGCCCTCTGCCAGAGGGAGGCCAGAGGGAGGCCAGAACTCGGCACTCTCTGCTGGTCTGCTGAGATCAGAGCCACTACACTGATGGAGGTTGAAACTCACCCTCCCTCTTTTTTTAAAAAAACCCATCCAGGGAGTCTAATGTGTGTTCTCCAAATACTCCTGGGTGTGGTTTCATTCCCTGAAGTGTGGTAAACCTAGCCTGGGTCACACCCTTAAAGAACTCTTGACTCTTCCTCTCCCAGCAGCTATCAGTTGCCAGTAGTTTCTCAGCTAGACCTGGGGCTTCTTGTCTACCTCTCCACTCTGTGCTGTCATTTTGTCTGGCATGGGCTTGCACAGGTATTTATATGTTGTCACAAGCACTGTGGGTTCATATGTGCAAGTTCCCTATCATGTCTAGAAATTACTGTTTCCTTATGTTCATCCACCACCTGTGGCTCTTACAGTCCTACTCCTTATCTGTGACATTCCCTGAGCCTGGGGAAGGGGTATGATAGAGGTGTCCCATTTAGGGCTGAGCACTCCACGGTCTCTAATGTTCTGCACATTGATAAGTTGTGAGTTGCCATTAATTACCATCCATTGCAAAAAGAAGCTTCTCTGCTAAGAGTTGAGAGATGCACTCATATATAACTGTAACTCTATGTTATTAGGAGATGGTTTAGTACTATGTCCATTTAGCAGAATAATAATAGCTCCACCATGGCCTGTGACCTCTCTAGTCACAAGTTCTTGACCCTGGTTATGATGCCAGGTGTGAGTTTCATCTTGTGAATCAGATATAGCCCATTTTTTGATTGGTTGCTTGTTTCTTTGTTTGTTTTTTTTTTGATGTTTTGCTTTTTAGTTCTTTGTTTATTCTTGACCCTAAGTGTTGGGATTAAAGGCATGCACTACATTCCAGGTTTCTATACCTCTTTTATAACACTCTCTACTTTTTCTTGTATCAGTTTTAGAGTTTCAGGTTTTATGTTGAGGTCTTTGATCCATTTGGAGTTGATTTTTGTGCAAGATGAGAGACAAACTGGTTTCATTCATTCTTTTACATGTGGATATCCATTTTTCCCAGCACTATTTATTGAAGATACTATCTTTTCTCCAGTGAGTATTTTTAGCATCTTTGCCAAAAATTAAATAACTATAATTGTGTGGACTTGTAGCTGGGTCTTCTTTATTCCATTGGTCTATGTGTGTCTGTTTTTGTGCCAGTAGCATGCTTTTTTTTTTTTATTACTATGTGTTTATAATATAACTTGAGATCAGGTATGGTAATTGCTCAGAATTGCTTTATCTATCTGGGGTCTTCTGTGCTTCCATATGGATTTTAAGATTTTCTTTTCTATTTCTGTGAAGAATGGCATGAAGATTTTGATTGAGATTGCATTGAATCTGTATGCTCTTTTTGGTAGTATGGCATTTCACAATATTAATTGTTACAATCCTTGAGCCTGGGAGATCTTTTAATGTCTTCCTTGCTATCTTCAGAGAGTTTAAAACTTTTTGTTATTGGGGTTCTTCGCCTCCCTGGTTAGGCTTATTTCAAGAATTTTATTATATTTTTTGAGGCCGCTATCAATAAGATTGTTTCCCTGATTTCTCTCTCAGTGTGCTTGTTATTGATATATAGAAAGGCTACTGATTTTTCTCTGTCAATATTGTGTCTTGCTTCTCTACTGAAAGTGTTTATCAGTTCTAAGAGTTTTCTGGTGGAGTCTTTAGGGTCTCTTATAGATAGAATCATAGCATCTGTAAACAGGGATACTTGACAACTTATATTTGTAAGCCCTTTTGTTTCCTTTTTCTTGTCTTACTGTTCTAGCTAAGATTTTTGAGCACCCTATTGAATAAGAATGGAAAGAGTGGACAACCTTGCCTTGTTCTTGATTCTAATGGGATTGCTTTTTTTCTCCATTTAGTATGATGTTAGTTGTGGGTTTGTTCTATATAGCATTTGAAATTGTGCTGTTTTTAATCTCATTACAGTAGGCTTGAGAATGAGGCTGCTTAGCCATGAAAATTTGAAGCTGAAAAAGAATCACATATATTCTTTTCTTATATACGTAGTTAAAATTATAATACAAAACAACTTATGTTTAATATAAACATCTATAATTCAGTATTACTGTACTATAGTTATATGTCACATCTGTATGTATATGTGATATAGTCCAATTTTGATGCTATAAATTTTTTATTATTTTTATTTTATGTGTATGAGTATACTGCCTGCATGTATAAGTGCACCCATGTCATGCAATGCCCACAGAGGTCAGAAGAAGGCATTAGAGCCCCTGGAACTGGAGCTACAGGTGGTTATTAACCACCATAATATTCTTTTTATATTCAGATTATAATATTTGATATTTGTGATTGGGAGGAATTAAATGGTGATTATGATTAAAGTGATTAGCATTTCCCTGTCTAAGCACCAAGTACAAGATTAAGAGAATGAAATTGGGGACTGGAGAGGTGGTTTGACAGTTAAGAGTGTGTACTTCTCTTCCAGGGGACTCAAGTTCAGTTCCTAACACCCATGTTGGCAGGTTATAACCATCTGTAATTCTGGTTCTAAGGGATGCAGTGCCCTTTTCTGGCCTCTCGGAGGCACCTGTACACATGCAGCATACAGTCACACATACATACATATAAATAAAAATAAAAAATGAAATTGAGGGGCTGGAAAGATGACTTAGTGGTTAAGAGCACTGGCTGCTCTTGCAGAGGACGTGGGTTTGATTCCCAACACCCACATTGCGGCTAACAACCACCTGTAACTCCAGTTCCAGGGGACCCGATGCCCTCCTCTGACCTCTGTGACTCTGCATGACATGGGTGCACTTGCATACATGCAGGCAATACATTCATACACATAAAATAAAAATAATAAAATATTTTTAAGTGAAATTGAGTCAGATAATTGTTCCATCATCAAAATAGAGTAGTACTATTGATAGATGAATTGTGGCTAAAGTTTCAGAATATAACATTGCAATAATTTTATTGATAAAAGGTATCCAGCACTGTAATGTGTAAATTTTTATTTAAGCTACATGTTTAGAAATAATAGCCTTTAAGATTATGTGTATTTTGCTCAAATACTGTGGCTTGGCCATTTAAGTTGGGCAGAACCTATTAGAAATGCTACTTTGTAAATTTTAAGAAATGTCAGAATCTCAGCCGGGCGTGGTGGTGCACGCATTTAATCCCAGTACTTGGGAGGCAGAGGTAGGTGGATCTCTGTGAGTTCGAGGCCAGCTTGGTCTCCATTAGCGAGTCCAGGCCAGCTGTGGCTACAGGGAGACCTTGTCTGAAAAAGACCAAAATAAAAAGAAATATCAGAATCTGAATACGATGGCACTCTTAAAATTTTTTTTGCTAGGATCTGATTTTATAAAATACAGAGTTTTGGACTTGGTCATTGTTGTAATTGTCTTTGTGGGCACATTCTTATTGAATTTCTTCAAAATGTAGTAAATACAAATTATGTATATCTTTTAGCTCTTTTAGATATTTATGAAAACATTTCTTTAAGCTTTATTTCAGGTCTTATAGATGAAGTCTAAAGTTTGTTTTTGTTTGTTTGCCAGGCATTTTATTTGCTGTCTTTTACAGCATGGACACCAAGTTGCCAAAAACTTGCTTTGGGACTTCCAGTGAATTTATTTTTTGGGATTTTATGATAGATTTACTAGTGGTTCCTTTTTTTGAGTTGATGTTCTAAAGTTACTATCACAATGAGTTCAGGTTTATGGAGCCAAGAGAAAGTTTCTTCACCCTACTGGGAAGAGCGAATTTTTTACTTGCTTCTTCAGGAATGCAGCGTCACAGACAAACAGACACAGAAGCTCCTTAAAGTACCCAAAGGGAGTATAGGACAGTACATACAAGACCGCTCTGTGGGGCATTCGAGAGTTCCTTCTGCAAAAGGCAAGAAAAATCAGATTGGATTGAAAACTCTGGAGCAACCACATGCAGTTCTGTTTGTTGATGAGAAGGATGTTGTAGAAATAAGCGAGAAATACACAGAACTACTGCTGGCAATTACCAACTGCGAGGAGAGGCTCAGCCTCTTTAGAAACAGAAGCCGACTGAGCAAAGGCCTCCAGGTAGACGTGGGCAGCCCTGTGAAAGTACAGCTGAGATCTGGGGAAGAGAAGTTTCCAGGAGTTGTGCGCTTCAGAGGACCCTTGTTAGCAGAGAGGACTGTGTCTGGGATTTTCTTTGGAGTAGAATTGCTGGTAAGTTTGATAAAACGTTTTAGTGGGCTGTGTGCATATGTGTATATTTGTGTCTGTGTGTGCATGCACATACACATTTTCCATCTTTGTATGCACAATTTAATACTTATAACCCTGGGAGTTTATGTTTTTTTTTTTTTTCGGTGCACATCTCAGGATGGAACCCAGGACCTCACACATGCAAAGTGTATACTCTTGCCACTGAGCTGCACCCCAGCCCCAGGATTTATTTTTCAGTGATAATTTGAGAGGATATAAAGGTGATTCTTGAAAACTTAAAAAAAAAAAAAACTTAAGTAGGAACATAGAAGTAGTTATTCTGGACTTTCATATCTTAGAAGTTTTAACATTGCTCATATTAAAAGTTAACTCTACCAATTACAATTAATCAGTTCAAAATTGTGAACCATCTTGTGACATCATGATCATCAGGTTTCTTGGGTCTCCTTAATGCATGCTTAACTTATGATAATTTAAAATTTTTAAAGTAGGTCACAGCAATTTCAGTTTGATTATACCTGTTCCTAGTAAAGGTGTATAAAATTTATTTCTATTGGAGAGATACCTAAGAATTCTGATATTCCAAATTGAATATTGATTCTCAGGAGCATAACATTTTGACATTCTTGTGGATAGAATTTCATGCTGTATTTGCTTCTTAATTTAATATTTCAACCGTTAAGATAGTTGGGGATTTGAAGCTAGTTATGACATTTACTAGCAAGCTTGTCAGGTTGCTTAACTAGCCAACACTGAATTCTCATCATCTGCTTCCTCATCTGTGGTTATAGCAGAGCATGTCTCCTAGTGACTTTGTGATACACTGCACAGGTTTAGTACAATGGATGGCATGTAGTTTGTATCCAATAATGGAACTAACATTACTGTTCATTTAAGGTAAAATGTCCATGACAAAAATCATGTTAAATTCACATTGTAGATTTCAGTCTCTTTCACAAAAGAATTATGATTTGAAATTATGAGGTAATTTTATTTCACCATAAGATACAGCTTCTTTCTGCTTTAAACATCCTAAACCCAACAGTGACTGTTAGTCATTATATTTCTTATTATGTGTATAATTTAGATGATTCAAAGTAATTGTCCTGAAATCTTTATGGTGAGTCCTTTTTCCTGTGGATACTCTTTCTAAATGTATTTTTTTTAAATCTCTCTTAAAAACTAGGAAGAAGGTCGTGGTCAAGGTTTCACTGATGGGGTATATCAAGGGAAGCAGCTTTTTCAGTGTGAAGAAGATTGTGGAGTGTTTGTTGCATTGGACAAGCTGGAAATCATAGAAGACGATGACAATGGGTTGGAAAGTGATTTTGCAGGTCCAGGGGATACAATGCAGGTTGAACTTCCCCCTTTGGAAATTAACTCCAGAGTTTCTTTGAAAGTTGGAGAAACTATAGAATCTGGAACAGTAATATTCTGTGATGTTTTGCCAGGAAAAGAGAGCTTAGGATATTTTGTTGGTGTGGACATGGTAAGAAAATTTTAGATTGTATTATTGTAAATATGTATATAAGTTTTATTACCAATTTATGTACGAAGTGAATACTTTCCATCTTTAAAGTGGACCAATTAGAGTACTCCAATTTATACAGGAACATTGAATTGGGTCTTTTTAATCACCATTTTTATCAGTCATTTATCAGGAATAATATGAATAGATGATGGGGTGTGAATGTTCTAGCATATGTTTGTGTTACCTTGTACTTAAAAATTCTGTTAGATACTCTTTAGTTAGGTACTAAATAAACATTTACCAAACACTTACTGTGTAAAGTTAGAGCCAGAGTAAAACTGTGGGCCTCAGGATTGCTAACAATTAAGAACTTATATTCTTTAAATTTTTTATTCTATTTTATTTTTATTTTCCGTGTATGAGTGTTATGCCTGCATGTGTGTAAGTGCACCCGTGTCATGCAGTGCCCACAGAACTGGAGTTACGGACAGTTGTTAGCTGCCATGTGGGTGCTGGGATTTGAACCTGGGTTTTCTACAAGAACAGCCAATTGTTCTTAACCTCTGAGCCAACTCTGCAGCTCCAAGAACCAATATTCTTTAAATGTGAATTCAGTATTGTAGAGGAGAAATTGTTTGCCGGGTGGAGGGAAAGTTGGAGAAAGTGTGCAGTTAGTCTTCAAATTTATTCTCCTCTTGCTTCATATTCTTTGGCCCAGGCTCTAAACTTGACAAGAAGTTCTGGCAGTTGTGACTTCCTTCATACCTTTTTGTTTCCAGGAACGTTTTAACATTCTATATATGCTGGTTTGCAGGGCATTTGTCTTACTGGCTCATTTACCTCCTGACCAACACCATACAGCTGGTGGTACATTAGAACATACCTTAGAAAAATTTCCATTTCTGAGCAAATTCTTTTTTGAAAAAATTTTTTTATTACTTTTATTTTATGTGTATGAATGTACTGCCTGCATGTAGGTAGGTGCACCCATGTCATGCAGTACCTACAGAGGTCAGAAGAGGGTGTTGGATCTCCTGGTACTAGAATTACAGATGGTTGTTAGCTGCCATGTGGGTGCTGGGAGTTGAACACAGGTCCTCTGCAAGAATAGCCAATGCTCTTGAAAATTCTTATATTCTCAAAATGACAAAAGAATGCTTAAAAACAACCTATCTATTTATAGAAAGGCATATAGTACTTGAGACTGGCAAAGGTCCTGAAAATCTGATATGTGATCAACTTTTAGGGGTAGGTTACTAGTAAGGCATTACTAGTAAATCTTCCTATGCAAGCAGTATCTTTTATTTATTTATTTTTGTTTTTTTTTTAAATCATGAGTTTATTAAATACTTTTTCCTAGTTTCTTTGTGTCCAAAAAAGCTCTCCATATATTATTACATTTGGTCTCAGACTATTTTTTATGTACGTTTATTGAGCTTTTAAAATTTCATATAACATTTCCCACTCAAATCCAGAACCCCTCCACCATACATGCCTCCCCCACCCACCCCCCTGAACCCTATGTACTCTGTCATACATGCTGAGTCCTATTCATTCAGGTGTTTGTAACCAAACTGAAGTCTAGTCAGTTCATCCAGTGGTTGTATGTAAGTCATACTCTCCCTCACCCAGCAGCAATCAGTCTCAAGTAGGTCTCAATCTAGTGCTGGCCAGCCCCTTATTTCTCAATTTCCCTTTGGGCCCTTGTTTAATCCAGTGTCTTTTAAATCTCAGATGGGTGTTATTACATGGACTGCAGTATGAAAAACACTTTTGACTCATTGTTTACCTATGTCTTTGTTGTAACTTGATTATTCTTATTTTTCCAAAACATGCAAAACCTTTTTACTATGGCAATTTTTTCTAATATATTCTTTTTTTAAGGAAAAGTAGTTAAAATCTATGAATGTGAAATATTTTGGAGTGTTCTTTTGTGGGAAATGTAAAATTTTCAGTTATATTTTATTGAGGAGAGTTTAAAGGCTTATTTTATATACAATTTCTAGGATAATCCTATTGGCAATTGGGATGGAAGATTTGATGGAGTACAGCTTTGTAGTTTTGCAAGTGTTGAAAGCACAATTCTCTTGCACATCAATGATATCATTCCAGGTATGTTTTCTCTATGTTCATAAGACAGTTTCTAACATATGTTTTGTTATGAGAATGGAAATATATAATTCAAGATGCATCTTCTAAAATTGACTTATATATTGTAGAATTGTTTTTAAGACGGGTCTTAATCTCCATTTTGATGATTAAGCAACAACAACAACAAACAAACAAGCCTGTGGCTCAAATCAGGCTGAGATTGCCTATGACGAATGTGTGGCAGAGCCAGAGCTCACTTCCAGCTCCATCTATTGTCAAGCTGTATTCTTTTCAGTACCCTACCAAACCTCAAATCCTATGTGTTCTTTCAGTGTGAAAACCCACATAAACTGTACTTCTTAGTCTCACATACTGGGGAATATTGTTTCCATGGAAATATATTTTGTCTTTGATTCTATAAAAGATTAATTTTTGCTGTAGCAAGGATCACAAGTGAGCAGGCAAACTAAATTATTTTTTCCCTTCTGGTGTTTTTCCGTTATTGTTAATTTTGACACAAAATGGATTTGAGGGTTTTTTTTTTTTCCACAGGTCATTTTAGGTTCTCAGTTTTTTGTTTTGTAGAAATGAAAGATGATGGCGGCTTCTTGCCTGCACTCTGTGCCCTTCCTGTTTCCCTCTTTGTATCAAGTCATACGTAATTGTTTTGTAGCTTGAAAATGTTTCCTACTCAGCTTTTAGCAAGAGGCATGAGACTCATATGAGAGCCTTATTTTAATTTTGTTTTGGAAAAGTCTTGCATATTTTGCTTTTGATTTCTTTTTAAACATGTAATATTTGTATTACTTTGAGAATTTCATACATGTACACAATATATTTTGATCATATCCACTCACTCTTCCTCCCCCTAGTTCCTCCTGGATCACCCTCTAACCTCCATCCCCTTTCCCAACTTTATGTCCTTTTTTTTTTTTTTCGTACCAGACTAAGTCCAATTTGTGGTCCCCATTGCTTTTGATTTCTTTGAAGATTTCTTTAAAGATTTCTAAAATTCAAATTTCCTCTATTTGGCTATTTGCCTCCTTTTGGAAACAAATGGTTTATAGTCAAAGAAAAGCATAAATGGTGTTTTATATTTTATTTAGTGATACTCACTTTGTCATGCTTGTTTACTGAGATAACACAATTTAGGATTTTGTGAATTGAAATACATTTTAATGTTATAATGAATGCTTATTGTTTCAAAATCAATAAAATATTCATTCAGATAGTAGCAAACCCTCACATAAAATGTTGGAATATTTTTTATTGAATTTTTGCGATTTTCACACACTATAGTTTGATGGTAGTTAGATCTCCTCCCCTTCCCACACCTCCCACCAGATGTTGGAATATGTAGGAAGCAAAGCAGTTAAAAGTTCTTGGGATGTGAATGTAGCTCAGTGGTAGAGTGCTTGCCTATCATGGACAAGACTGTAGGTTCAAGTGCTTGCACTGAAAAATAAAGTAATAATTTGGGCCATCAAGGTGGCTCAGTGGGTAAAGGGACTTGTTGCCAAGCCTGATAACCTGAGTTGATCACTGGATCCCCCCATAGTGGAAGGAGAGAATGACTTCCTAGTTGTCCTCGGACCTCCACACTCATGCCATAGCACATGTGTATTGATGCTCATATGAGAGTGTGCACCACACACATGTACACACACTAAATAAATGTAAAAGATAAATTCTTGTGTAGAGCTTTGATTTTAGTATGTGGAGACAGATAATAAGTAAGTGGAATGTATGATCAGTTCAATGGTGATGAGTCTGGAGAATGATAAGGGGAAAGGCATTCTGGCCTGGGGTGGGGGAGTTTTTCTATCTCATATATGGTAGTTCCAGTAGACCTCTCTATAAGACATTTGAGTTCATTACATGAAGGAAACTGGGGAGTCAACACATGTTCCAGGCTCAGAACTGCAACTAGCCTGGTCAGTCTGAACAATATCAGGAGTTCCTTGTGTCTGCAAAAGATTGGGTGACAGAAAAAGTGGCATTGAAAAAATGGGGCTGCCACAGGTTGGGCCAAGAGGGCTATTGGATGTGTTCTTGACTCCTACTCTTGGAGAGATGAAACCATAGGTGGTTTAGGGGGTTTTGAGTAAAGGGTCCTTTATATTTCTGAAAAGAATGGAAGAGATGGAAGATAGAAACAAGAGTCCCCAGAAGGAGACTGGTGCAGTCATTCATTTGAGAGACGATGGTAGCTTGGACTGGGATGAACCAATGAAGTGGGTGAGGAGTGGATTTTGGATATAAAAATACTCCCAGATGGTTTGGGATTAGGATTTTAGCAAAAGGTGGGCAAAAGCAGGAAGAGCAGGAGTGTGTATGTGTCAGGGGTTGGAAATCAGAATTTTGATTTTGAATATGTTAAGACTGAACTATCAGTTTCGCTTGACTTTACATTAAGAATGCTGCTTCTCTAATAAAATGGGCAATGGTGATATTTTTCATATTTATGATTTGTTATGGAATATACCTGTAAAAGCATATGTAAACACACATCAAGAACTAGGCATGGTAGGTATGCCTTTAATTCCAGCATGTGGGAGACAGAGGCAGGCGGATCTCGGTGAGATGGAGGCCAGCCTGGTTTACATAGCAAGTTCCAGGCCAGCTGGGGCTACAGGGAGAGCCTGTCTCAAAAAAATACACAAACAAAAAGCAAACATTTGTGAATTACCATCCAGGTTAAGAAATTGGACATTGTAAGTAGAAACTATACATGGAGGAGTATCTTAGGGGTAGCCATTATTTTGATTTTTCGTTAGCAATTTCCTTGGTTTTCTTTCTTGTTTTATCATACATCTATGCCTATAACCTATATTGTTTAGCTCATGTAAACTTAGTGTAAAGAAAATTATAGACTTCTCTTTACTTGCATCCTGTATTTTGAGGTTCTCCTGTGTGGATGAGGTGACAGTTCATTTCTTGTCATTTCTTCCCAGTATGTTTCATTGTGAGAATAACTGAGGAGTCAGTGGCCTGTTTCTAGTATTAACGGATGCTTGGGTATTGGATTATTTCCAGATCTTTAACATTTGTACTGATTAAAATTTTTGCCACTCCGATGGTTTGCAGTGGCACCCAAGTGTATCTCTCTGATTATAAGTAGGGCAGGACTGCTTCCCTATGTTGGTGGAACATTTGTGTTTTCTTCTGTTAAACACATGCTACTGTCTTCTGTTTATTTTTCTGTTTATTGCTTCAGAGTCCTCTATTTTTAAATTTTTCATAAAATATTTAACATTTTTTGTGAAATTTCAAATGCACAGAAAAGTTGAAAGAATTAAAAAATAATCAATCTGGAACATCCCTATGCCTGCCATTTAGATCCTGTATTCATCATCTTACTGTACATATATCTGTTCATCTCTCTTATTCCATGCATTAACCATTAAATACATTTCAAAATAAATTACATAAAATCATTTTCTTCTAAATTCAGCATACATATAATTAACTAAAATTAAGTATTTAGGTTTTTTTTCTATTTGAGATGTTACTCATTATATCATCTGAATTTTGACTAGTGTGCACCCATCTTGTTTCCATGTTTTACCCTTGTATTTCAGTTACCCCTCATACATTCTTTGCCTCCTACTGGTAGTTATTTTATTAGTTTCTAGATATCTTTTCCAGAGATTCTTTATATACTTTATATAGTATAAGTATATATACTTACCCTCCATTTTAATAAAAAAGCGTGGTAGATACACTATTCTTGCCTTACTTAGCTTTTCATGTCTTGTAGCTCTCTATCTGAATAGAGAGGTTTTTATTTATTTACTTACATTTATTTAGTTATTTGGAGTGTGTGTGTGTGTGTGTGTGTGTGTGTGTGTGTGTGTGTGTGTGTGTTCTGTGTATGTCTGTATGGTCACACATGGCCCAGTGCACTTGTAGAGGTTAGAGGACAACTTGTGGGAGTTGGTTCTCTCCTTCCAGGAATGTGGGTTTTGGGGATTGAAGTCAGGTTGTCAGCCTTGGTGGTAGGTTCCTTTACTTGCTGAACAATTTTGCTGACTTTCAGATTGTTTTCTTTTTTAAAAAATATTTGTGTTGTGTATATGTGTTTGTGTGTATGTGTGTGTTGTATATGTTTGTGCACTGTGTCTATCAGTATGTGCACTCGTGTATACATGTGGAGGCTAGAGGCCAACATCCATTGTCTTCCTCAATTGTTCTCCACCTTAGTGTTTGAGACAGGGTCTCTGACTGAACCTGGAGCTCCTAATTTGGCTAGACTGGCTGGCCGGCAAACCCCTGGGATCTTCTTGTCTCCGCTTCCCTGTGCTGGGGTTACAGGTACACTGTGACATCTGACTTTGTACCTAGGTGCTGGGAATCTGAACTCAGGCCCTCATGCTTGCACAGGAAGCCCCTTATATACTGAACCATCTCCTCAGTCCCAAGAGTTCTTAATTATAGTGTGTCATTTTCATTATACAGGACACCATCATTTATTAAATAGTACTGACAGATAGTCGAGTGGCTTCCTTGTACTACCCTAAATAATGCTATAGTAGCCTTGTGCACAATATATATTTCCCACATTTGCTAGTATAGAAATCCATAAAAGTTAGGGTGTTTGATAAAGGATTCCTGTAGGCATTTGCTGATTGCCTTCAGGAATGGAGATAACAATTTATACCAACAGAATTCAAGGGTGACTTTTAGTGCTTTACCATGAGAGTAAGTTGTTTCCTTACAATTTAAAGTTCCAGTGTTGTTTTCAGTTGCATTTCTCTGATGAGTGATGTTGAGTATCTTTCATGTGATTGAGGACAATTTTATATTTCATCTTTCTATTAATTGTCTATATATGTTTTTAAAATTTGGGATTTTTTTTCTCACTGGTTTCTTCTTTGTGTGTTAGGGTGATATAAGGTTCCTCAAACTTATTTGTAATTTTCTTTAAAAAAACCCATCTGATTAACTTCATTGGTTATTATTGTATAAAAAAATTTACCATTTTAAATGTACAATCCAGTGGCATTAAGTATATGTATTGT